GGCTCAAGCAATCCTACTGCCTCAGCCTCCCGAGTAGCTGGGACTGCAGGCATGTGCCACCATGCTTGGCTAATTTTTTCTATACATATTTTTTTTTAGCTGTCCAGATCATTTCTTTCTATTTTTTAGTAGAAATGGGGTCTCGCTCTTGCTCAGGCTAGTCTCGAACTCCTGACCTTGAGTGATCCAACCACCTCGGCCTGAAAAACACTTCTTAACAATGTCTTTTGAATAAAGTTTAAGGTAACAATTGTAAAGTAAAGTAGATGTTTAACTTAATTTAAATGTAGCAATGTTGACACAAATGAAGATTTTAAATCAAAACTTAGTCCTGGATGAAATGATTTAATGAGCTAAAATTTGTCTTTGTGGTTTTCTTTCCTGTATATTTGATCACTTGGGGGTGAACTTCTCAGTCATCAGAATTTGGATACCATTGGATCATGTGGAAATATGGGCTCCTAAAGCGAGTATGACTCTAAAGCAGAGAGGAACAAATTTCAGATGATGTCTGTTAGGAACTCATAGCCAATACCTAGGAAAAGCTACCTCTGATTTTAAAGCTAAATGACCAGATACATGAGAAATGCACTCAATTCTAGCAAAACTTGAGATCCACAACAAGTTCTAAGGACAATGTAGAAAATGCCATCTAATCATGTTTGGGGATAAGATAAGGTTAGTTTAAGCTCTGATCAATATGGATTATTTAAAAAGGAGCTAAAGTAAGTCTAGGTTTTTTTTTCCTTAAATCTTTGTAGTGGGCTTCATGACTTTAATAAAGAGTTATGTTTGTTTCTTAAGGAAAGTATCGAAGTTTACGGTTCTATTTTCTGCCTCCATTAAATAGGGAGACCGTTAGTACCATGTGCAAGGCATGTATCACCACTCAGTAGCAGAGTACCTCCTTTTGAGGAATTCATATTCTTCCTGAAAGATAAATCTGCAAATCTAAACATGCCAAATGACTTAAAAAAAAAAAAGAAATAGACTAAGTTAAGAAGAACTTAGATGTAATTGAACATACTTGGTTTAATTTGTAGGTAATTTATTTGTATGGCGTAGATGAGACGTATGCCAATCTTCTGAAGAATGTGAATTTCTATGTTATGCCACTGGTTAACGTGGATGGTTACGACTACTCGTGGAAAAAGGTAGGTGAAAAGGCAAAGAAAACAAAACATGCTCCCTTTGGGAATATAGTATATACAGACTGAATTATTCATAGAATTGTAGATCTTGGCACAATGGTTTTATTATGAAGTTTTTTTAAACATTTATTATGGAAAATTTAAAACATATGTAAAAGTAGACATAATTGTATAGTAAACTCCTGTATAACCAACCCAGAGCTTCATAGATAATTAATTCATGGCCAAATCATGGCCAGTCTTGTTTTGTCTGTATTTTTTTTTTTTTTTCTTTCCCTTCCTAAAGGTTTGTCAATTTTGTTTATCTTTTCAAAAAACAAACTTTTTTTTTTTTTTTTTTTTTTTGAGGGAGAATCTCACTCTGTTACCCTGGGTATTGCCCTGGGTAGAGGGCAGTGGTGTCATCATAGCTCACTGCAACCT